ATATATATATATATATATATATATATATATATATATATATATGGCTTAAATCATTATACTTTAACCAATGGCCTGTGGGTCATTAACTTGTGTAAAATTAGAAAAAATTATGACCTCCTTAACTTTGGAAAAAATCCTAAAATTAGATATTTAGACACTTAACATATAAATTAAATTTTTTTTATTTATATAAACTGGTTAGGTGTCACTCATATAGTTACAAACTAGTCATTGGAGTGACACCTAAAAAACATAAAAATTTCACGACAAAATAAATAAATAAAAAAAAAGAATAAAAAAAAGAAACAAAAGTAAACAAACAAAAAAAACAAAAACAAAAAAACAAAACAAAAGGAAAAACTCAACATCTGTTTATATAAATAAGAGAGAAAAAAAGAAAAGATAGTTAAACAAACAATAATGTAATTATAATAGTAATAATACAAAATAATAACAATAATAATAAAGTACCAATAATATTATGAATATTATAATACAATATAAATTGTATGTACAAATCATAGATGATATTTAGATATAATAATAACATAATATGTAACATTAATAACACAATAATAAATAAATATAAGATAGGTAAATAATAAATAAAGTAAAAATCAAACTACTTGTTTGTTAAAGAGATTATATATTGAAGACAACTACAGTACAGAGAGAAATTATAAAGAAATACACTCCAACAATATATTTCAAAAATTAATTATGTTGAGCAGTAAAAAATTCGTAACAAGTGGATATTTTTTCTTAGACTTATTTATTACTGCGGGAATACACTGGTTCCATTGAGAAATACATTGTTGATTTATGGAAAACTTACCATATTTGATTGTGTTGAAAAAAGAATAGTATAGCTTACTATTTTCTGTATTCCTGTTGTGATGATTATGAACTTCGTTTGTTTTAATAAAAAAATTTGAAAAAGGGCTTGGTAGTTTATTTTGGAGAAAGTCAAACACATAAAGACAATTGTAAAACTTTACAAGAATATGGAGTTTTAGGATTTTTAGTTCAGAAACTTTTTTTCGATATCAGATTTCATTGGGGAAAACATCATTATTCTAATAAATGCGCGTTATAAACTAGCAATGTTATTAAGTAAAAAGTTTCTTTTTTGACCCCAAACAATACAACAATAGTAAAGGTGAGAAGAGAATAAAGAAAAGTAAATCACTCGAAGAGTTTGGATAGGAACATAGTAACGAATTAGAGAAAGCATACTGTTAGCTTGTGTAAGTTTTTTTTTTATAGATACAGTTGATATTACCAAGGTTTTCATCAAGATATATTCGAAGATACTTTATATATTTTGATGGAAAAAGT